GCTGTGAGGCAGCCCAGGCCACAGGAAGAGGCATTCTGGCCACATTTGGGGTTGCAGCTAACAGCTGGCACCCAGCGCGAAGCATCAGAGTGAATGAGCCCTCACTGCATTCTAGCCCCGGTCTTTGAGTGTCCTAGCTGAGGTCCCACATATTGGGGAACTTAGAAGAAAAAGGCCGCCTCCTTTGCCATGTTCAAACTTCGGGACAAAGGGGCGGGCATTGGATGCGGTGGCGCCACTCGGGACAGCCACACCCCACCCGGGGGTGCCTGGTTAGAGCCCCAGTTCCTCTGCTCCAGACCCAGCTCCCTGCTAATGTGCGCTCTGGGGAGCAGCATTGATGGCTCCCACGTGGGAGTTCCTCTCTCCTGCCGTCCGCCTGACCCAGCCCTGGCTGTTGAGAGCCTTTGGGAAGTGAACCAGCAGATGGAAGATCTCTCCCTGTCTTTCTCCCTGTGTCTCTCAAATAAAATGCAAATAAGTAATTGTTTCAAAAATGTATGCACCCATAGTGAGGATAATAAATGGCAGTTTTTTAGCACTAAGTTTTGGGGAAATAGTTACTAAGTCACAGTGCCTGGAACATAGCACTCACCATGGAGTAGGGAAGTTGTTACAAACTCCGGAAGGGGCAGACCTCAAAGAGAACGAGATCCAGTCTGCCCATTCTCAATGGGGCCACATCACCCCCAGCGAGGTGGCAAGCATTAGTTCTCTGAGGGTGAGAAATCTTATTTCTTTTAATGAATAAAGCACAGATCTACAAAGAGTGTGTAAACAGATAGATAGCAAACCTGTGGTATTACAATTTTCAGGGGTAGGGGCCAGTGCTATGGCACAGAGGGTTAGGTCATGGCCTGCAGTGCCAGCATCCCATATGGGTACTGGCTTGAGTCTGTCTGCTCCACTTCCCATCCAGCTCTCTGCTAATGCATCTGGGAAAGCAGTAGAAGATGGCCCAACCTTGGGTCCCTGCACCTACATGGGAGACCAGGAAGAAGCTCCTGGCTCCTGGCTGTTGCAGCCGTTTGGGGAGTAAACCAGCAGATGCAAGACCTGTCTCTCTCTCTCTCTCTCTCTCTCTCTCTCTCTCTCTCTCTCTCTGTGTGTGTGTGTCTCCTTCTCTCTTTCAAGCAAATAAATAAATATTTAGAAAAAAAAAAAAAACCTCAAGGAGTAGAGGGCAACTGGGAAAATGGAAGCTTGAGAAACTCAGAATTAGAAGGAGGGAGAGAGCCCTGTGGGCAGGAGAAATCGGAGAGGCAGCTGTCCAAGCAGCCAGCAGTCTAGCCGGAGACCCTGACCAAATGCCTCGGCTTCTCTGAGTTTCAGTTGCATCTTCATGCTCAGATTTGCTATTAAGAGCCAAATGAAATACTTGTAAAATTTTTCATAATGGCTTTTGCTGTGTAACATGTGGCATTTTGTAGTGGTTATTGAAGGAGACAGAATTTGAGTTGAGCCTGAAAGGAAAGATGGTGATTGACAAATATGGGGCAAGGACAGTTTAAACAGAGGACACAAATGGACTAACAATCCGAGGAGGTGCAAGAACTTGTTCCCATGTCTGATGTATCCGGAGAGCTAGGAACAAGGGGGCTAGAAGATCAAACCAAAAAAAAAAAAAAAAAAATAGCCAACAGCAGAGTATGGGGTGAATTGAGTTCAAAGAGAAAGGTTCATTCTGTCACTTTGTCAATTTTTAAAATGATTCTTGCATTTTACAATACACCCACTATGTGCCTGCACTGTGGGGTAAAGACGTGGATAGGAGCAGGAATCAACCGGAGTCAAGGCGATGCAAGTGAGGAGATGCTGCAATCAGACTGTCTGAGTGTACCTCACACTTCCTGTGTAGCAGAGGGATAATGAGAGAAGGCTTCCCCCAGGGGAGCTGTTTAGGCTGGGCTTTACAGGAGCAGGACGGCGCTAGAGCCGAGGGGGGAAGAGAGAGAGAGAGAGAGAGAGAGAGAGAGAGAGAGAGAGAGACTGAGACTTCCAGGAACAGAAGACAGTTCCAAACGCGGTCTGTGCAGAGAGCAGCCAGCAGTGGCCTGGGTCTGTGGGGGAAGCACGCTCGGACTGGAGGGCTGCTTGTGGCCCCAGTGCAACAGGAGGGCCCTGCGCCAGCCCCAGTGCAGCAGGAGAGCCCTGCGCCACGGCTCCTGGTGCGAGCTCTGCCTGGTGTCATGCACGCCGCGCCTTAATTTGTGATAGGCAGATCTCCGTAGGTGGAGGAGAGGAGAGGACAGGGACAGCTGGTCAGAGCAGGTGGCAGAGACAGAGCTTGTGGGTCCAATAGCTGAGAGGAGACTGCGAGGGGGTCCCTGCTGCCTGCCGAAGGTCAGCCCACACGGATCCTAAGGGCCCCCACACCAGGGCCACACTGGCTCCGCCAGCCTCTCTGGTCACTCCCCTTAGCGGGGGACTTACTGTCTCTCATTCCCACGCTCAGGAGCAGGGTCCCAGAACCCACTGGCCTCCTCACTGACCCACTCAATGTCCCCTCAGACTGGGGAAAACTGGAACCAGTACCAGGTGGCCAATGGGCTTGGGGGTGGGCGCTGAGCAGGCTCTGAAGAGGGTCATGCTGGTCTCGCCCGGCCACTCCGTCAGAGCCAGGCCCGGGGTGCAGGCAATACAGTCGACTGGGGGTTGAGAATTTGAAGCACAGGTGTGCTTTGTGGCACCACTGTTTAATCTCTGTATCACGTCCTATCTCTGGGCCCTTGACCTCCCCCTCCCATTGTGTGGTACTGACTGGGAGGCATCAGATCACAGTCCCTAGGGTCTCAGAGAGTGGAGACTTGCTGCTCAGGGTTGCGCACCTGCGGCCTTCCTGGGTCTCCGACGCTGCTAATCCTGGGGCCACACTTTGAGCAAAGCTCAGAGGGGAAGAGTCAGTACCTGGGCCATGTGCTTGCCAGAGAGGAAGGAGGGAACAGCAAGTGCACAGCCCTTGCAGTGAGCCTCACGGGAGCACTGCCTGCCCCCCGCCCCACCGCCCTTTTCCTCTGTGATGGAGACCAGGGTTGGGTCTTCCAGTACCCCTTGTCTCTGAGCAGAGTGAGGGTGACCCTAGGGTTTCTGGGAACTCACGGAAAAGGTAAGGCAAACCCATACAGCTCCTCTTTTCTGCTCTGCCCTCTTCACGCCCCTGCCAGGATGCTGGGGAGGAAGGCGGAGCAGCAGCTCTGGCCTCAGGCACTGGGCACTGGGGCAGCAGGGTGTGGCTGTCCCTAAGCAGAGATTCCCTCAGGGTCTTCACCCCTGCCCCACCAACTTGCAGGGCTCAGCCAGGATGAACAGAGACGCGTCAGCTGCACGCGTTCTCCAAGTGAAGCCACCAACCCCAGGACCCCTCTCTCTCCAGGCCCCTACCTGGGCCAGTGGTACTCAACTTGCCATAGCCAATACATTCACTGCACAAGCAAGGGTTGAGCAAACACTGTGACAGCGTGGTGGACGCCGCCAGAGCCGTGCCTCCGAAGCGCCACGGGCTGCCCAAAGGAGAACTCGAGACTGGGTGCGGGGAAGACCTCGGGCGATGGCGGCACGGGGGTGCCCTCTGAAAGAGAGGAGGCAATTTCCCAAGCAGAGAAGAGGGCAGGGTTGTTCCAGGCAGAGAGAGAAGTAAAAGCCCCAGGTTGGTGGACAGGCCAGGGAGTAGGGAAGCAGTAAGTGGCTGAAGAGGTTCAAGGGCACGGTGTTGGAAGATGAGGCCACAGAAATCCAGACTCCAGGAGCGGGTGGGCGGGTCCAAGAGGTTTCAGAAGACGGTAGCCCCTGAAGGGCGATCGCACAGGCTTGGGCGACCAGCTCCGGGTGAAGGCTGAGGCATGTCCGGCCCCTGGCTCCTGTGAGGCCCCAGCCCAGGCTCCCTGCTGACTCACGCGTTCTCCAGGGAGGGAAGCAGGCTCTGCCGGCCCGCGGGCTCGGGCTCTGGCTCCGCTGCAGGGCGGTTGAGCCTGCCCTTCCTTCTCACTCTTGCACTGCTGCGGGACATCGCCCTTAGGACTCCGTTCTACAGAGGCGGCTCTGGCTCAGAAGAGTCAGCCAGCAAGTGGCAGGGCCACTCCAAGACCCCGAAGGCCATGGTCTTTACAAAGTTTCATACTTAGCAACACTTTCAACCCCACAGGGCCGGAGGGAGGGTTCTGGAAGACAGGTTTGCACAACTCACAGCAGCCCCTGTCAAACTTACCATTTGACTGGGATAGAGAAAGTTCCATAAATCTGGACTTTTCTCTTGTAAGGCATTTTTCATAGGAATTTTTTTTTTTAAGTTGCTTCTCTCTTTTTCTCTCCCTTTCAGTCTGCAGTTTGGTTACAATCACTGGAATGCACACACTGGCTTGGCTGGTTTGACAAGTCTTCCTAGGGGCCCTGCTCACCCCCCACCTCCACCCCTCAGACGTGGAGCACAGTGAGACCCCCTTTGGAACGGAAGCTGGATATCACTGGGAGCTGAGTTTCACGCTGGCCCCGGCGGCGTTGGAGATGGGTGCTTCCTTCTCTGCGGCGGAAGTGGCTGGGAATCAGCCGCCCCAGCGGAGAGAGGGGGCCGTCTCCTAAGCGCGGCTTCCCCCACTCTTGGTGCTAGGCCGGCGGCAGCAGTTGGTGTCCGGTGAGAGGCCAGCCCTTGAGACTGGTTCCTGTGAATCTCAGCCCAAGATGCTCTGAGGTTTTCTAGACGGCTTCAAGGAAATAGGCAGTAGCATTCTCTCTCATCTTCTCTTGACAAGAATCCACCTTGGATCCCGTTTCTCCCGTCTAAATCCACAAGCATTTCCTGCCGCACCAGTGTGGCTCTGCAGGGAAGAAGGCAGGCCAGTCTCGCCAGGCTAAGGGGCTCCAAGACTTTGCAGAGGCCTCGCTCTGGGCCAGGCAGAAGCCGGGGCGGGCAGCAGGAGAGCAGCGACTGGGGGACACGCACAGGGCTTGCTGAGCTCAACGGCAGGACGGCAGCGGCAGGGCACAGACAAGGCCGAACACGGAAGTCATAAAACAAAATTTATCTTTAATTTGTAAGTGTCAACAGCAGTACAAAAGATGGAGTGATGACAACTAGATTAGGGTAGAGAGGACAGTCTTGAGGTAAATGAGCATAAATAGGCAGTTCTTATAGACACTCCCCCGTGGGGCCCACGCCCCATCATGGCATACACATTATCACCCAAGGATGGCAGGCTCAACATTTCAGGAAAGCACCTTGTGCAAAAAGGAAAAAAAAAAAAGTAGCTAAGGTGCCAACATCCACCAGGTCAAGACAGTGTGTCTTTCAATTTTTGTCTTTTCCTTTAATTATGAGGCAGAGGAGGGGAGACTGAAAAGTACCACTGAGAGATGATCCAATGTTGGGTTTTATCTCACGTCAATACTGCACAACGAAATCCAAGAATTTGTGTATGTCACAAAGCTAAGAACAACGATTCATTCCTTTAAATTTGCTTTTTTTTTTCCATTTCTTGAATCCTTAGCAAACTTTTTTTTTTTCATTATCAAGAGGAGAGTGAGAAAGATATGATGGCAACCCTTAAGGTCATTTAAAAACTTTACACTGGACTGTACAAGATTTTTTTTTGATAAACTATTTACATTTTCAGACTTTCAAACATATTCAAAGCAGCAATAGACACTAGTTTTTATGGTTTTTTTTTTCTAAATTGCCCAAATAGTTACCAGCCATGGGCCAAGTAGGTACCTGCGTTATACATAGAATTTCTACAAAGAAAATCTGCAATTAAAATTTGCTCGAGGGTGTATTAAATGCCCTTAGCTTCTCAAGGCTCACACCCACAGAGTTGCTATAGGAACCAAAGCACAGTACCTGGGCAACAGTCGCAGTTGTCCCGACAGCCCTACTCAAACTTTACACTTTGAAACAGCAGCCAGCATGTCTGTCCAGCATGTCAGTGAATTGTGCTGATTAAATTAACATAGAATACAATCTCACAATATACATCACAAACAAATTACAATGTCGGGAAATAAAAGAGTTACAGTAAGATAAGTTATGTAGTAACAGCTTATAAGCTTGTCTAAGGTAATAAAAATTTTACATGGCAAATACAATAATGAATGAACATAAATGCTAAGCATTCTAATTTGCTACCAGTGGAAAAGGGTACAATAAAGACTGCACTTCCAAGAAAGCAAAAACACATATGACAAAGGAAGACACACGGAGAATGCACACGAGCAGACCTGCAATGTGCAGCATACAGAACAGTTACATATTTGCACATTCCCCATACTCCAAGACCACCAGCACGGAGGCCTCGCTTTCTGCTTGTGGTTCTTCAGGAATGAGAAACTACTTGAGCAAGCAATGTCACTGAGTTGCCTTCAACCTTTCAGACTGCCACGGACACGATGGGAAGAGCATCAGCGCTAAAGCCTTACCTTCCTGTCCCTACCCCACCCCCCCCACCTCTGCCCCGAGGGGACCAGGCATTCCAAGTACTTGTTCGTGAGCTTTTGGAAAGCAATCTGTCCCCCACCCCAAAGACAAGACAGGATGGGGATGAATAGCAAATGAGTTTGCATATCAACATTTTCAATGATACTCGCCCAGGGGCACGCTCAATTGGATATGGCATCAGAAACACAACATTGTCGGCAGGAATAACAGACACAAGCTGTTTATTAAGGAAGCACACATGTCAGAGGGCAGATGACCTAAGGAAATGATGCAAGTGCTTTTGTCAAAGGACAAATGAGGTCATACATTATTATTATTATTACTATTACACTTTGAGAGGTGAGCCGAAGTGCCAACTCGATCCTCAGACCAGCGTGTACAAAATCAGGCAAGCCTCCAGCAACCATGTTTGCCATTTTCTCACTAAAAGGAAGACCCAGGAATAATCTCAATACATTCCTCTCACTGCATGTCTATGCAGTTGTTGGCACTTGGTGCAGGACTCCTCATCCGGTTTTAAATCTGCTAAGTGATTCTTTTTCCGTTCCCTAATGAGTTGGTAGAGGTGGACTCTTTGCAAAGTGAGCTGGCTGAGGCAGGTGCCCAGGCTGCCTTTCTCCTGAGGGGAGATGGGCTTCCTGCAGTCCCTGCATGCAGGCTGTGCCTGTGCTCCTGGCCCCGGGGCGGGCGTGCACGGAAGCAGCAGCCTGGCTTCAGGAGCGAAAGCAAGCAGCCTTGCACTTGTCTGATCACTCCTTGTTCAAACACCCCAGGCTCCCGGGGGGCTGATGTTCAGGGGAGGCCAGCATTGGGCCAGCTCAATAGCACGCTGAGCCCACACCTGAATTTAGAACTTGGCCGGCGAGTCGGGACGTTGGCAAATCAAATCCGGCCTGAGGACCAGACTGCAGAGTATCAGATCCCAAACGAAGCAGACTGATGTGTGCTCCTGGAAGGCCAAGTGGGTGCGTGTGCAAAGAACAAAGTTGCTGCACACTTGCCAAGGGGACACTCACAGTGCCGGCCCACTGCCTGCGGCTGCATGGAGGACTTTTCTCTCTCGCCCTTCCTTCCTTCCCTCCTCCCCTCCTTCTTTCTTGCCTTTCTATCCCATATGGCCCACCCTTTTAGGACACGATTGTCTGCCAGTGTCCCTAAACTAAGTGACAAGAAAAACCCTGATCCTGTGAGTTCTGTAACAAAGTGGACACAGTCTGGACATTGGATTTAAAAGTACCACGATATAGGGAGCACTGGAAAAAGGTTGCGTAGTTGTTGTTTTTTTTTTAATCTACCTGGCGGGGTGGGACTTGTATTCATGGCCCATCTCAAGAGGCAGATTTTTGCCTTGACGACGACATTCATGCTTATTGCTATTAAAGGGTCACAGAATTATTGTAGAAGATTTATGTGGATTCACAAAGCACATCGACTCTCTCCTAGCTGTGCTGGGAATTTCTGGTGTTCAATTCATCAACTGTGTACGTATAAAAAGGGAAAAGTCTGAATCTGTGGACAGTGGGTTCTAAACTGCAGGAGAACCCCAGGGAAGCGGTCTGTTGTCCCAGCTACAGGCTGAACAGCTCTCTCGCTGTGGCTGATAATTCGCTATTGCTGTGAAGTACACCGACCCATCAGCTGTAGTTTGGACCAACATATATGGACAGAGAACAAAAAGGAAATACATAACTTACAACTCACTAAGTATTCATGAGCCAAAAATAAATTCTATTTCTATGTTATATTTACACCATTAGAAAAATCTAAAATGAGATGGTAAAGTCATAAAAACTTTGTTTAAGCCCCACCGAAAACAAAATGAAGTGATCCCTATGATTGTCATTCTTGATTTCCATGGATATTTAGAGCCAAACTTGGCTAATAAATAGAATAAACTGCTTATGCACAAAATTTAGATCCAAATACAGCATCACTGTGTAATCCAATGGAAGAGACTTTTACGGTCAGATCATTCCTGAATCACCGTTCATGTTTAACAACATGGCTAGAAGTAACTGCACCCCAGTACCGAGGCAGAGCTGGAGCTAAAACAAAGTGTTCATACACACATGTATTTTGCATAAATAAATGAAATAACAAGACATAAAAATGACTCAAATCCGGCAACTGTGAGGCAAGCCCACACGAGTCGAAACAGATGACTTTTGTTCATGTAGTTTTCGTACAACAGTTTCACATTAGTCAGAAGTGATAAAAAATACCATTTATATCCAGTGCTTATAACACTTACGAAACATCTGTGAGTGTGTGTGTTTTTTGTTTGTTTTTTTTTTTTTCTTACTACAAGCAAAATCAAGTTTCATTCCTAAAGAACAGTCCTTTGTTCTCCACCAGCCCAGAATATTATTTTGGCATGGTCATAAAAACAAACAAAATTAACCTACTATGCTAAATGTTCGCCTTTGTGCAAAATTAATTACATACAATACAATGTTAGCCATACAGCACTCTACCTATGCTACAAAATAAAAAAAAAAAAAAAAAGGAGAGAGAGCACAAGCCAAAGAGGAGAAAAAACATGAGAATGAATTTGAGGAGGAGAGGTATATAATCAAAGAAATCAGTAAGACAATAATAAATACGAATTTTTTTAGAAAAATGACCTCCTCCTCATTTGAAATAAATGTACAAAACCAAAGTTCCAATCCCCAGTCAACATTAAGAACAAAACATTCCTATCAGTACCTTGAACAGCTTATAGAGAGCTCTCCCAGCTAATGACATAGCTGGTACTATCTTGGCTAGACCTATTTATTGCTATTAGGTATGGCCTTGAGCACTCTTTAAATAAATATGAAGTATACTATTTTCTTCCAAGTGACAAAATGGCTCAAGAAATCTGATGGGGCCATTCCTATGTCCTGGTGATGAGAGTCTGGGTTGTCCCATGGGTGCACTGTCCCACTCTCTGACACTCCTCCACTGAAGCGCTGCGGGCGAGGGCCCCCACGGCAACCAGCCCAGGTTTCAGGAAGGTCAAAATGGCATAGCAGAGCTCCCTGAAGTTAAAGAGGGAACGAAACCTCCCTGCGTCCCAGCCCAGTGGCACATCTCCAGAGGAATCCTTGAGTGACAAGTGTGGTTCATGTTGTTCACACGTGAGCACACCCCATATGCAGCCACAGATACAGGGAGCCAGCCAGAGGAGTGCCTGCTGTCCCGCGAGCTGTCTGTTCCCCGGAGTTAACAATAGGAACATCCCGTATAGGGAATGTATTTCTCCTGCTTCTCCTGCCCTATGATTTTCTTTCATTCCCTGGTTGTATCCTGACTAACTGCCTCTATTTTTGCTTTGAGGTGGTCATGCGTCTTCTTGCATGCTGGGGATTTTCCTAAGGACTTCCTGGATGTGCCAGCCCAAGGCAACTCAATGGAAAGGTGCCAGCCCATGACAGCTTCACTGTAGACGTCTACGTGGCCCACAAGCCTTGGGCTTCAATTTGGCTGCAGGAGGCCTGCCTGGCGGTCACCACGGTTGACCCTTGCTGCTGAGCAAAATGCAGGGGAAATGCTGCGGATGCAGATGCTACCACTTGATCTTGAACTGAGTTAGGGGAAAATTCCGGCAAAGGATTCAGTCACAGGGAACCCCAGGGACATCCACATGCACAGCCCTGCAGCCAGATAGACACTCGTTTTTCAGAACAATAATGTGGGCATCTAATAGTATCTTGTTTCAGAAATGCTTCCAGATACTCTGGGGACATAAAATCACTATGTACATCTTTCGTATCTAGCAAGAGAAGGAGGCGAAAAGGGCTGAAAAGTTCTTTGGGGAAGGAGGGTGAAAAACAAGAATTATTAAATTAATGCCACCAACAATTTTTTTTAATAAATAGTAAGTGGACCCTTGACATTCTGGAATGAATAAATTATTTAAGAGAGAAAATGTGTTAAGACTGAATGTCAGGGTTAAAGGCAAAGGGATAATGGATGTAGTGAGCGGCGGTCTCAGGCAGAGGAGACCATTGTGCCGGTATCTGGTGTGGCGATCACTCTGGTGTGTGTCTGTCAGACCACGTCACGCCCTCATGGCACGTCAAGAGGCAAACACAATTGGGTGCATGCACTGTGGCAACCTTGTTCATCCCTTACAATATCGTGTCTCCAGATTCCTGAGTACTTCACCATTTTCTGGAAAAAAAAATGTGTGGTTTGCTATTTTACTTTCAGATGCCAAAGATTGTCTAAGACTTTGCAGTGTCTCATTTAAGACTTTCAAAATATTAAGATTCAAAAGTTAGGAAAAAGTTTGGCACATTCAAAGTTGAACTCTACACATGGAAAAATGGAATTCCGAGGCCTTTTGAATATACTCTACATGCAGCTGCACACGCTGTGGACTTGTCCTGTTTCACAATATGAAATCCTCAGTTGTTTGCTAAAATAACTCAGAATAAAAACACATTCACAACCTGTAGGCCGGCACAGCATACCTGAGTGAGAATGTTTAACCCCATCTAAAACAGTAACTTAAACCTTTATCAACATCCAAAAGAAAAAAAAAAAGTAAGACAAAAATATAAGACTTGTAAGACAGCTATGGGTTGAGATAAGTTTTCAAGTCCTGGTGTCTCATATTTAATATGTCTTCACCTAAATTAAAAAAACAACAACAACAACAATAACAATAACGACAAAAAACTCAAGTTCATGAAAAATCAGGGAAAACTTAATCTGTCTCACACTTTAGGAAACAATTAAGACCATTCTGCTGATGTAATTGTGGAGCCACAAATGCATGCGGGCTCTTTAAGAACTTTTTGTTGGGGGAGGGGGGTGAAATGTCAGAGTATTTTAATTCAGCAAACAGACACTCCTCAGTTGGCACTGACAGCCTCCGGGGCTTCATTTTCACTGCTATAGTCTGATTTGGGGTCATCTTCATAGTCGTCATACATCTCCATTTCATCCTCTCCGTTAATCATCTCGTTTCCAGCTAGGCTTCCGCCGTCTGTCTTCATACCATAAGTGCTCTGGATGACCGGGAGGCTGGGCTCTGGGCTGGCGGAGGTGCTAGAGCAGTCAGATGTCATCTGAGGTGACGGGGTGGTAGTTGCCATAGTAATAGCACCAGGATACACAACACCTGTTCCTGTGGTGATGGGAATCTGAGGCTGCTGCCTGTAACGGATAAAAAGGGGGTGGGGTGGAATGTCCAGAGATAAGTTCTTCTGCATAACATTGGAATTCACTCCCCATACTTTCCAAAGGGGTACCCTGTTTCACGTTCTAAGTCAAGGACAAAAGGTAGAAGAGGTGTTCCCAGGAGGACTCCTGCCACTCTCCCTCACATTGTGCAGGTTAAACAACACAATGGAGCAATTTATTGAAGGTTTTGCAACATAAAGCTATGGTTCTTTTAAAATGGCAAATATGGCAAGGCTTAGATAACACCTGGCAATAGGAACAAGTACTTTGGTTAATTCCACAAAGTTAGGTGTGAGATCACATTTTACAATCTCCCAGAACACTTAAAAAAAAAAAAAAAAAAAAAGACAGGGCTGGCACTGTGCACTGTGGCAGAGCTGGTAAAGCCGCCACCTGTAGTGCCGGCATCCCATATGGGTGATGGTTCAAGTCCTGGTTGCTCCACTTTCAATCTGGCTCTTTGCTATGGCCTGGGAAAGCAACAGAAGATGGCCCAAGTCCTTGGGCCCCTGCACCCATGCGGGAGACCTGGAAGAAGCTCCTGACTCCTGGCTTCGGATCAGCCAGCTCTGGCCATTGCAGCCATCTAGGGAGTGAACCAGCAAATGGAAGACCTCTCTCTCTGCCTCTGCCTCTCTGTAACTCTACCTTTCAAATAAATAAATACACCTTTAAAAAAAAAGACTAGTGGCATGAGACATACTAAAATGACACTGTTAAGCAGGTTTCCTTCACCTTCATCTTGGTTTCAGAAGTGTACAGAGAAAAGATCATAAGGGTCTTAGTATGTCCCAAAGAATCCAATTCAGCAAAGCATTTACTTGTTACTCATGCAGATATCTACTCCTTGTTATGTCTGAACCTGAAGGGAAGGACTTCTATCCAAATCATCTTGGATATCATTACCCCTGAGGCCTGGGGCTAGAGCTAGCATTGGAGGAGGCTGGAGCAAAGAGCAGTGAGAGCTCTCCAACAGTATCGAATAACAGACCCCAGCCACAATGCCCCATCCCAGACCTCAGCGAGGGCCATGGTCTGGGCACACTAGGACCATTCTTCACAATGGGACCCTGGTGCAAACAAACTGACCAGATCCTTGGGTGAAGGTCAGTCTCTCCCTTTGCAGGAAGACATGGCTGCTCTCACAGTTTCACTTGAGCATCCTGATACGTAAGCATCAAAGCTCTACCTAGCTCAGAGACTGTGATGGAAACAGGATTTTCATGGATGCAATATTCACCAAGTGTTTCTCAATCTTTGTGGTCAGTAAATTACAGCTGAAATTCATTTAAAATGTCATGTTCACTACTCTCTCTGAGCCACAGTTCCCATATATTTATAAAAGTTGGGGTCAAGAAAGTTTGGAAGGTCCTTGTGCTTTCTTTACTCATGCCTTTGGGTCAGTCACCACTTGGAACATTCGTATTGACCCTACACATTATCACTGACACTTTCTAATCACTTCACTTCACTATACCAGCAAAATATCCTGTACCTATGTGGAAGAGGCTGTGTTAGTAGATGTGTTAAGAAGGAGCGAGCCCCACAGGGTGGGAGGGATGGCGGAAGGGAGAATGATGGAGACACCCTGTGAGCTGTCTGATCACGCTGTCTTTTCTTTCAATCACCATGAGCACAGCGACTCTAGCTTTTCACTAACATGACATACAAAGTATTTTCCTGTTTATTTCCTCATTCAACTGACATGGCGACCCCATGAGTTAACAGGGCCCATTTTTTCGATGCAGGAAATAAGGCCGTGCTTTAAGCCCTACATTCAATAACAAGCAAAGCCAAAATTTTGAACCTGGGTCCTCACCTGATTAAATTCTACCACTCTCTCCTTTACAGACATCAATGCCCAGGCATAGTTGGCTCGCCACATCAGGACAGCTCCTGACTCCTGTGGAGTATGTCAGGAGCCAGTTCATTTAAGCACCTCGATAGTAATCCAATTTCTAGGATTTTTGTGGGGAGTTTTTTTTTTTTTTAACTGTCTGAAGGAAGCAGATGATAGAGGATTCCAAATTTATGTATAGAAAAGTCCTATACTGGTTTCCCTCACATTGAATCAAATTCAATAAACAGTATACTTCTTGCTTTCTAAATTTTGGGCAAATTAACACAAATTAAATTTCATGCTCACCTGCCCAAGGCAAGTAAGTGTCTCATTAATGTTTTTATTGAATTTAGATAATTACAATACAAATATTTTTGCCTCTGGGCCAACACTGTGGCATAATGGGTAAAGACATTGCCTGTGACACTGGCATCCCATATGGGCACCAGTTCGAGTCCTGGATGCTCCACTTTTGATCCAGCTCCCTGCTAATGCACTTGGGAAAGCAGCAGAAGATGGCTCAAGTGCTTGGGCCCCTGGCACCTTTGTGGGAGACCAGGAAGAAGCTCCTGGCTCCTGGCTTTGGTCTGGCCCAGCCCTGGCCTTTGTGGTTATTTTGGGAGTCAACCAGTGGATGAAAGATATCTCTCTCTCTCTGTCTCTCTCCCTTCCACCTCTCCCACTCTCTCTCTAACTCTGCCTTTCAAATAGCTGAATCTAAAAACATATATACATTTTTGTCTCAATCATATTATGAAAATTTTTACTGTAATATTAACCCATTTTGGAGATTACCCAACTCAGCAAGGTAATATAAATTCTGCCTGCCAACCCAAACTATCAAATGGCACATCTTCTTTTCACAAAGGCATGTTCCTTTCCCACAAAGAACAGATTGGAATTTTTGCAGTATTTCTATCAAAATACCCATATTGATAGGTCTATTAAATAAACATAAACTGAATCCCTAATATGTGCTAGGACTATACACTGATGTTTTCATGTTATCTTCTTTAATCCCCCAAATATGCCTAAAGGTCAGTATCACCTCTTTCACAGAGAAGTGACCAATTAAGGTTCAGAGAGTTTAAGTTGTTTGACCAGACAAGTACGGCTGCCGGGAGTTAAAACTCATTCTCTACTGGATATTGAAACTAGGCTGAGAAAGGCAAGCTCAGACTATCAGAAAAATACTTAGCATTTTGAGTTAGAATCAAACTCTCCTAAACTGGGCTTTTTGTACTTAACAGTATTTGGGCATTACGTTGGTAATAAAATGTTAAAATTAAACAATCAAACACTTGTATATGACACTAACATGCATATCCTAGGTGGTGCAGAGACGTGACTGTTTTAAGTCCCCAGTTAGTGCTGAAGTCAAAAATGGTGTTGGTCAGAACCCAAAGATTACTCCCCACTGCAAGGAAAGGAAGGTGACCGGCTCTGCTACCGGTTCCACGTTTGCACATAGCTGACTGTTGCCCCAGGAAGGTCTTCTAGGAAGATTAGGGGGTGTGGGGAGCAATCCGGACTGGACTGAGTTACTGGAATTAAGACTTATTCTATGCATCTGCTCTCCCACAATATGGCGCTGGGAGAGAAGTAAACAGCTTCCGCACAGCTGCCTCCAGTTCAACCAATAAACTGTAGGACTTGCTCCTGATTGGAGAGCAGCGTACTCGGCGTGTGGGCAGCCGAGTTGGGATTGGCGGAGGAGGACTATAAAGGAGGAGAGAGACGGCATGCACCAGGAACATCTAAGGGGAACATCTAGCTGAAGGAACACCTGTGCAGCCCCCGAGAAGAGCCGGCCGGCGGTGTGCCGCTCCCCTGCGGAAGTGGGGAATGTGGCCAGGGGGAACTGCCCTTCCACGGAGGTGGAAGGGATAGTAGCCAACCCGGGAAGAACCAGCAGCAAACCCGGGGAGGGCCGAGCAGACAAAAGAGCAGCGCAGGGTCCTGTGTCGTTCCTCCACGAAGAGGGGGAGCGACAAGGGGGCATACCACAAGAGCTTCATTATGTGCCCAGTTCTCAGAGAGACTGGGGCTTAAATCCCAGCTCCACCAGTTCCTGGCTGTGTGACTTGCACAGGAACTATTACCACTGACGCTCCTTCTCCGCATCTAAGAACTAGACTATTACAATGAGCACACAGACTCGACAGCATCATCAAGGAGATTAGGAAAGAACACTGACGAGGAGGAGGCAGTCAAATACTACTGTGTGTGTGACCCTCAAGGAGAGCAGGCCTGCTCTGGGTCTGCTGGGACACCGAGGAGGCCACAAGGTAATGGACTGGACTGTCCAGGAGTGCAGGCCCACAGGAGCCATTTGGAGTCAGCCGCAACCACGGACTGTAAAGCAATACTCTGGCTCACAGGCTGCCAGGAGAGGGCTTCCTCCAATTCTCTGCCTAATCTGTTGGGCTACACAGGTGAACCGGGCAGGAGAAAACACACTAGCCTGCTTACTAGTCTACACACTTATGAACATGAACTTCAGATCAGCCTATGGTGCCACTCATTCTTCATACAGAACATGTTCCTGGCTCATCCTTTCTTCTGCTCTCCCAACAACGACCTCACACTTCCTCAGCTCCCCCGCATTGTCCAGCTTCTTCTCCCCCATTCCCACTCAGCTCTGAGGATCTGACTTTCCACTGCATGAAGAAATCAGAGGCAATCAGGAGAAACTTTTCACAAGATTCCACAGTCACACTGACTAACCTACCTCTATATGTGCCTCTCTCTGCCTTCCTGTATTTTGAGTCAGCTCATAATCCAATAAAAGGACAAACCCTCTGCTTGTACACTCAAACTACCTGTGCTCACTTACTAAGAGTAACTTTCCCACAGCTGTTTCTCCCATTGTATCATCAATTTTCACTCTCTCCTGCATCATTCCCACCAAACATGTCATAATCACTCCTACTTTAAAAAAAAAAATTCTCTCTTGACTCAGATTTTCTTCCAGACATGGCTCCATTTCTCTTACTTCCTCTAAAGCAAAACTCTTTGAAAGGTTGTCTCCATTTCTTCTACTGAATTTTTTCTTAAATCCATTTCAATCTTTCCAACACTATACTGAAGCAGAGCTTATGAGCAGATCACCATGGTGTTAAACACAAAAGTT